AAAAAAAAAAAAAAGAAAGGAAGAAAGGAACTGGATCTTTTGAAGAGAAACAACAATAAAAAAGACAGCTAGACAGTTTAATCAGGAGAAATTTAGACAGCAAAAACATCCATCATTAGAAAAGAGAAAGGGGTTATAAACACAGCTACAGTATGGATGTTTCAGTTATGCCCACTGCTGGGCCTAGCTAACTCCTCATTCTTGTTTATTGGGTCTCAGTTTAAATGTCATTTTCTTGGGGACCTCCCTAAATCCACCAGACCATGTGAAAAGCCCCTTGTTCAAAGTTTTCATAGTACTGACTTTCCTTTTCAGCACTTAACACCATGTAACTTGTACAATTATTTCTATAAATTTTTGTTTTAATGTGAGCACCTCATTGTACTAGGGCTAATTCAGATGTCTATTTTATGGTCTAAATTTGTAGCACTATTTTTTTCTGAGTTTGCTGTTCTTCTAACCCAAAAGAGCAACTTTAAATCATTCTTAAAAAAAAAAACAAACAAACAAGGGCTAAGAGTAAGTCAGGAGCCAAGCGGCTTCTGAGTTCAACGGCTGATGCACAAGGGATTACCCAAGACTCCCCAGATGGCTCTGATGCTTGTAATGTGGCATGTCTGTAAGTGCATTTCTCACAGACACATAGGGGTAAGAAGCATGTTGGCTTTGTAGCCAGGCAGTGTCCATCCTGGTAGAAACTTGGCAAGAGATTTTAAAATTCACATTTATGCGTCTAAGGACACCAGGTACACCTGTACTAGTCTCACCAAACAGCAGCTCCTTTGCTCACCTTTATTCTAGTGAGGTAATGGGTAGGGCATCTTGGGGTGGAGCCCAGCACATGACCAATGAAGAGGATCTGGATCTGGGTGAGTTCCCATAGGCGTGAAGCTGGGGACACCAGGAGGGTACTCCTTGCTCTCCCAAATATCCCTTCTTCCACCCACTGACTCCTAAAATTCCTTCTCTAGGAGGCAGAAATGCTACAACCATAGCTTCTCTCTCCTGGTCCACTCATGACTCTGAAAACCCTGCCTTAACTCTCACAGCCTTCAACGCCAAAACACACCCATGGAATGAGAAGTAGGGAGTAAGAAAAGGTGTGAAGAGAGGGCAGAAAACGGAGAAAAAGAGGGTTTTCAGAATCATGAGTGAAACCAGAGAGAGAGAAGACCTGGTCTCTCCTAACATGCTCAAATGTAACTAAATAATAAGAATCAAATAAGAGCCAGTCACACCTCCCAAATCAGACTTGTCCTCTCAAGGGTTATGTGGACCTAAGAGGTGCCCCTGGGAAGCCCCTGAAGAGCCCCTGATGACCTTCCTATTTCTGGACGTGTAAATTCTACCCCTTAGTTCCAGGGGTGGAGATGTCATGACAAGATAAGGTAATTTTTTTCCTCCTTCCAGCCCCAAATATTTCAAAATAATCAAAGATTCCCACACCACCACCCATGCCGACTCTATAGTGCATAGGCTAAAGCCTAAGGCAGTTATTTGGCAAATCCCAGCAATTGCATCTATTTGTTTTGGCACACTGTATGGCATTGCTCTAGCAACAACCCACCTGTATCTTTCATCAGGTCAAGGCTAACTGAAAACATAAAAAGAAACTGAATATAAAGGTGGCAAGCATAATGAAACAGGTGCCTGATAACAAAATGCTTTTATGGGCTGCTGAAAGGTCCCTGTGCTTGGTGTCCATAACCTGCTATTGTTCCAATAACAACTGCATCTCTTGCTTCCCTAGGAGATCCTAGGGTGCTAAAATATAGCACCTTGGGAAATTAACTTATTACTTATTAAGGGCAGGAAAGATGCCTGTATGGTGGTCCAAACAATGACTGTGGCTGTAAGAGATCTGAGAGATGCTTGGAGGAAAAATGGGCAACACTGGTGATTAGAGTGAGGGGTAAGAGAGCTTCCACACAAGGTGACACTTAGGTCTTCACAATTTTCTCAGAATCAACCTAACCCCTTTGTCCAAAATAAGCTTGGCAACTTTCATTTTTGGAAACTGGATAGAATTCAGGCCCATCTTACTAAATCTTGGTTTATGGGCTGCTAGTTTGGAAAGAGCGGTCAATCTTATGCTAGCAGGACGAGTTCACGCAGGCAGCTGGGGTGAAGATTGCACAACACTGGGTGGGGATTGTACTAGCCGAGTGGGCAGAGAAGGAAATTCAACTGAGTGGTTGGCAAAGGTGGGGAGGAAGGGGGTAGGGGGAGGGAGTGTCACTATGCCTGATATGCCCCAAACAGGGCTGGCAGACCTCCACAAGGAAGACTTAGGAATGCCAGGCTGCCAAGATATCAGATGTGTTGCTTGCAAAAGGACTCAGAACTGAGTCAGAATCACGTAGTACTGTGATCTTGGAAACTAACAAGAAGTCCTAATTCTGGCCACTCCTGGAATGCTAACAAAGGCCGCTGGTGCCCTTGGATATAGATCTGGTGCACTCTCCACCACACCAAATGTTTGTACAGTCAGCTCAAGCTCTTCCATGTTCCTCATCTGACCTGAAGGGTGAGCCTCAGGCAGGACCCATCTTTCTCCCCTCCTCTGCATGTCCCCTTCTCCTGTGTCCTAAACATCACCTGAATCTGCCCAGCAGAGTTCCAGTTCTGGTTTACATCATCTCTCACATAAACTATCTGCACACTCTCTTAACTCTGCTCCAGCCTCCCAAATGCCCAATCAGGAGCAAAATAAAGGCTTTTTCTGTTGCAAGCCAGGGCTCTTAGAAGTGTCTATGCAAGTCCCATGGCTCCACTGGAATGGAGAGGCCCTCCCAGCCAAGCTAGGCCAAGGGGCGAGCAGAGGTGGGACACTGCAGCTGGGCAACGTACCTGTCAAAGGAGGGACGTTCTCCGGCATCAAAGGCATCTCTCAGCTGCTTCACCAGGTTGTCCTGCCCAGGCAGACGGAAGATGCCCTCTTCATTCCTACCGTGCTCCAGGATGAAGTCTGCACATTTCTCCACCAGGATGGGCACCAGATGGGGGCCAAATTTCTGTTCATAGGCCACAGTCTCATCCAAGCGCTGGCCAAACACTGCTGAGGACAGAGCAAACAGAATCTGCCAGTCATTCTGTCGTTCATTGGATGAACTATTTCTTGACTTTCTGTGTCACCTGTGACTTCACAGGTCTTATTGCAATGATACTAGACAAAATATGGGAGACAAATCACTCATAATATTTCCTGAAGCTATAAATAGGGGCCTATAAATTTGAGGCAGTCTTTGCCAGTCTTTTTATATTGACCCAAATTTCTTACATATTTAAAATAACGATTGGCTTTTACTGAGTACTTGTTGCTAGGAATCACACACTTTTTGTCCTCTAATCTTGACAGCAACCCCATGAGGTGGTATTAATGTCACACCCACCTTACTGTTAAACTCACTGAGCCTTAGACACTTGCCAAGGTCAGGCAGCTCAGAGCATGGCACAGGGGATTCAAGCCCAGGCAGGGAACTCCTGAGAATGTGCCCTAACCATGGAAGCAAGTGGGCTGAGTTCCACTCGTGACACAGAGTAGTAAAGCATAATGCAGTACGGCATCCCCCCTTATCTATGGTCAACTGCAGTCTGAAAACATTAAATGCAAAAATTCCAGAAACAAACAATTGATAAGTTTTAAATTGCGTGTCATTCTGAGTAGCATGATGAAACCTCTCGTGGTCCTGCTTGGTCCAGCCTGAGATATGAATCATCCCTTTGTTTAATGTATCCACGTTGTATACACTACTTGCCCGGGAGTCACTTAGTAGTTGCATCAGTTATAAGACTGAAAAGATGTAGTATATATAAGGCTCAGTACCAGCTGAGGTCTCAGGCATCCACTGCTGTCTTGAAATATATCCCCTAAGGATAAAGAGGGACTACTGTGGTCTATCATATAGATGTCTCATAGTACCAAAACATTGTAGAATTTAAAATAATTTGGATTGTTTACTATGTCCTGATTATAAACATTGCCACAGCAAACATGCTTATTCACTTGGCAGAGATCCTGGAATGTATGCAGTACAATGCATAATTTCTAATTAATTGTTTAATTAATTAATTAACATTTGGATGGATAACAAAAAGCGTTTCAGTCTTTTGAACTATTTGCTTATAACGATTTCCTTCCCATGTGTAGAAGTACTGGGCCAAAGGGTTTGAACATTTTTATAGCTTGATGGTATGCAAATTGCTTTCCAAAAATATTTTCCAAAATTACCCTGCCTCCAGCAAAGTAAGTGTGGGCCAGCTCCGCCCCAGCTCTGTCCACGTGGACAAACTTGTGTCTCCACAGTTTCCCTGCTCCGACAGTGTGACAAGACAAGTTCACAAATCAGGGCAACCACTGCCTACCCATTCTCCCACCAGGCTTCCATGCCCTGAAGTTTCAGAAGACAAGCCGTGGCTTCCGTCCTGTTCTGCCTGACTTTCCCTCTGCCATCATCAGGGCTCTGCTGCGCCCAGAACTTCAATCCTTAGGACATCGTTTGCAAAGTCACTTGACTCTCCCCATGATTCTCTCAGGTTGATGCCCTCCATCCCATCTTGAGTTGCTGTGGATTCCACTCTTATAGAGCTGTACCACCTTTCATCTAGAATGATGTCTTTCTGAACTGTGGGTTCCACTTCTTCCCTCTCTTTCAGTACTTACTCTTTCTCTTTGTATCCTAAAATTTTCTCTTTTAATTGAAAGATCCCATGTGAGTCTACGTCTTTGCCATTGTTGAAAGATTAATCTCCCACCTCCGTTCTCATGTTCTCTCCACTCCCACCCACTACCCGGGCTAGGCTAGCCTCCTCTCTCACCTGTAACCACTGCAGTCTCTTCTCTCTACCATGTTCAAAACCCTCCTGCTGCTTGCCTTTCTAAACCACCACTCTGCATAACTCCCAGCACAAGGCAGACAGTCAACACATTTTGCTGAAGCATTTAGTGAACGAATTTGTCTTTAAGCAAGTATTTTCCATGACTAATGGTTATTTCGGCATTTCTTTAGTGTAAACAGTAGTAGGAATCTCCTGGGTATATGAATTCAGCTTCACACTAGCATGCATTGAGTGCCCTGCCATGTGCCAGCAGCAGGTCCCATGGGATGGGCTGTGCAGACAAGGGGCATGGAAGAACTGGTTCCTGCTTTTAATGAGTTTATCATCAAGTTATGAAAATAACAGGACCACAAAAAACATGGTGAGAAACAATTTAAAAACTTCAATAACCATATGGAATTAGGTTTCTATTCGTCTATAAGAGCTGGACAGATCTTTTCGCTAAATTGATAGAACATGATTGAGACAATCTGACTTAAAGTGGACCACATGGCATCTGGAAAATTCTCTTTGAGAGGTCCAGAGAGGGGCCCCTCAATGGGAGAGGCAGATGTCTGTTGAAGCAGTTGAAGCTCAGGCTACAGAGGTCTACTGGACTTGATTGGGAAAGATACCCCAAACACAACGTAAGGATATGCACAGAGAAGTCAAAGCTTTGAAATTCAAGCTCCATATCTGAGGTCTCAAAGCAGATGCTCCATGTTACATCTCTCTGTGTGTCTAGTCCTCTAGCTTTTTTCATCATCCCAGTCTATCAGTCTTGTCCTGCCTTCACCCTCTGTGCCTCTCATGCCTTAAATGCAGCCCTTTCGATATTAATCTCACCCATACCCTGCTGCTTCCTACTACCATCTGCATGCCTTCATCACATCACTAAGAGCTACAAGAGACCAGGCATAACCATATTGTGAAAATCTATCCTTCCAATCTCTGCAAGACATTAGTTCCAAATTTTCACCACTCCTCTTGAAGTCCCCACCCATTCCCTCCCTTCTCTGTCTCAACAGGTGATCTTGGCTCCTCTTTCCCTCCATTACCAAATGGAAGGCTATAAGTGAACTCCCTCTTCTCCAACCCCTTCCTTTCCCATCCTTCTTCCTCTGTGATTCTGTTTTCTCCCAGAGGAACAAAAGGGCCCTATCTTTCATCTAGGATGATGCCTTCCTGAAATGTGGGCTTCATTTTTCCCATCTCTTCCAGTACTTACTCTTTCTCTTTGTATTTTAAAATTTTCTCTTTCAACTGAAAAATCCCACATTGAGTCTAGGTCTTTGCCATTTTTGAAAGAATTGTCTCCCACCTCAGCTCTCATGCAAACGACCAACATTTGCCTTCCTTCTTTTTGCCATATACTTGTAGAAAAATGTGTCTACTTCTAGAGAGATGTCTGCCCCACTTCCTCATTTGTCAGTCACTACTCAGCCTCTCAACCCATCACAATCTGGTTTCATTAGCCTGCACCTCTTCACTAAATCTGCTCACTAAGATTTCTAGTGCTCTCCTAATGTTCATTCCACAGCCTACTTACTGGTCTCCTCTGAAGGCTGATGTTGTTAATTCTCCTTCCTCTTCAATACATTCTCCCTACATTGCAATAAATCCAGCCACTCTTGTTCTATTCCTGTCTCACTGATGACTCCTTTCAGTCTCTTTGACTGTGCTCCATCTTCCACCTGCTCCTTTGGTGCATCATTTCCTGCGATTCCAACTCAGACTTGTTTTCTTCTCACTGTAGTATTCTCCTTAGGAAAGTGCATAGGAGTCCACACATTTAGATATCTCCTATAAACTTATAATTTATTAATCTGCATATCTGGTCCAGATCTCTCTCTCTCTCTATATATATATATATATATACACACACACACACACACACACACACAACACGCACACATACACACATACATATGGATAGATAGATATAATTTACGGAAGAATAATCCCCCACCTCAGCTCTCATGCAAATGACCAACATTTGCTTTCCTCTCTTTACTATTATACTCATGGAAAAATGTGTTTTATTATATGATTATAATGTATGTAATTATTCCATACCTATTTCCATCTTCTCTCTCTCTTTCCTCTATTCCCATAAGTTCAGTGTCTAATAGAAATTCTCCCAGTATTTTCTCTAATATCAGTATCATCCCACTCTTAAATCACTGCTTCTCCTGTAGCTTTCCTTAAAGGCAATAGCATTCATTCCTCAGTCAAGAAAAGGTACTCTGCTAGGCACTGATAATACAAAGCCATTAACACAAGCTACCTCCACTTAACTAATCCAGTTAGCAAAATTGTGAGCATTAGGATTATCTGTAACATGCTTCACTCTCTCCAAATAGTTTGGTACATTCTAAACATGCTTTAAACCAGCTCTCTATTCTCACTGCTGTTGCCTATATCATTATAATGGTTTTCTTTGCAACTCTATTTCTTGCAAATTCCTTCCACCAGAATTCTCAAAGTCATTCAACAAATGCAGGCTGATCATTTGCTGTGGGCCAGGCTCTTTGATAGCTGGAGAGTATGATAGAATGAATGAAAAATGGTCTTTCCCCTTAAAAATTCTCAAGAGAATGCCTTTCCTCCTACTCTCCTCCTGGAAACCCAGTCTTCCTGAATTTGGATGTCTTCCCAGAGAAAACTGGGCACTCTTTCCTCTACTTACAGAGCTCCCTGTGTGTTCCTCAATGTTATCACTTCTCATGTAACTTTATGGTGATTCATTTAAACATCCCTCTCTTCCACTGGACTGTGGACCCCTCAAAGGCAGACAGTCCATCTGGCTCAGCATCTATTCTCAAAGCCTGGTGCATGATGGACTAGCCCTCAGAGAGCTGTCACTACCCGCTGCCTCCCATTCCTCCCATTCTTTGCCCCTTTTCTATGCTCAATACTTCCCCAAACCTGCTCTTATCAAGGAGATCAATGGCCTTTACATTTTAAAATCTGGGGTTACATCCTCTATCTTCATTTTAACTGCTCTATCAGCAGCATGTGACACAGAAAACCACCCTCTCCTTCTTGGGACACTTTCTCACATGGCTTTTGGTACACCAGTCTCTCTTGGTTCTCCATGTGTCTCATCAGATGCTCTTAGCCTCCTCTGAGGATTCTTCCTTTTTTTGCTGTCCTCTAAATGTTGGAGGGTCCCAGGGCCTCCCTTTCTCATCTGCACACACTTTCTCATAGTCTCGCCACTTTAAATTTCACCCA